AGAGAAAATGAGTAAAGGGCTATTCAGCAAGTCAATAAAACAGTTACAATGAGAACAGAGATAATCGCCTGACCCCCACCACATTGAGATTACCCCTTGGGGTTTGACTCAAGTCATTGGCATGGTTTCCACACACTGAGAAGATCCTGAGTCATAAACCTACACAGAGGGAGATGTTCGCAAAAGTTTTTGGAGCAGTTGCTGTCTCCTAGAAAGTTAAAATCACCTCTCAGCAGCAAGTTATAATCATCTCTTAGCAGGCAAAACATATCTCCTATTTAGAAAAAAGAGGAAGGAATAAAGGAAGGAGGGAGGGAGGACAGGGAGGAGCAAAGGGAGGAAGGAAGGGACTAAACTTATCCCACTAGGGGTGTGAGCCAATGGTCCAGTGACCTAGAGCACCTAGGGCACTAAGGTGATGCCCATCATGAGGTCATCATAGTCTGAACAGCACCTGATGTTTGACAGGGAAGACCCAGGACCATGGCCCCTGCCCTCCTCATCCTAACCACATTACCACCTCAGACCCTGACTGTTCACAGCTTAGAGCTTCAGGCATTACCTTTCCCCGCAGCTCTAGTAGTGTCTCCTCAAGTTCTTGGTGCACCCTCTGTAAGAACTGGCAGAGGTCCTTTTGAGAAATTTACTTCCTCTTATAGGAATCACTAGGTGTCCTGGTGGAGCTCTGGTAGCATAGTGGCTAAGACACTTGCCTGCTAACCAGACGGCTGGCGGTTCAAACCCACCAGCCACTCCTCGGAAGGAAGGTTGGGCAATCCTACTTCCGTAGTGATACTGCCTCGGAAACCCAAGGAGGGGTCGCTATGAGTCGGGGCCGACTCGACGGCACATAACAACAAAACAACAAAAGGTGTCCTGGTGGCACAACGGTTAAATGCTTGGCTGCTAACTGAAAGATCAATGGTTTGAGCTCACCAGCTGCTCTGCGGGAGAAAGATGAGGCAGTCTGGTTCCGTAAAGATTTATAGCCTTGGAAACCCTATGAGGGCAGTTCTACACTGTCCTGTATGGTCCTTATGAGTCTCAATTCCACGGCATTGGGTTTATAGGGATTACTAAACACAAAAACATTCTAATTTTAGCATTAAAAACAACAAACAAGCAAACAAAAAACAAAAACAAACATAGAAACCATTGAGTTTGAGTACTTGAGTTTTGCTGTACTACCCCAGGGTAGCTGTGCAAAGTTGTTGCCCTCTAATCTAGAGTGAAGAGCCAAGGGGCAACTCTGCAGAGCAGTTATGGCAAATAAAATGGGAAGAAGGCTGGAGTCTTAGACTTTTCAGACTTGGAACTGAAAAGATTGAGTCTAAAAAGAAAAACATGTCACCTTCCTGCCAAAATAAACTGTGATGAAAGCTTAGAGTCTACCACCTTTCAGCCAAGCATTTCCTGTATGGGCCTCCCCAGTCTTCTCAGACTAGCTCAGATGAGGGAGAGCTATTTTTAAGGTGCAAACAACCAGGACAAAGAATGAGGGAAGTTATTTATAGTTTCACCTTTCAACTGTTCTTTTCCCCTCTGGAAAGGTTGGGCTTGGATTTCCCTTTGAATGTAACATCACTCAGGTAGGAAAGATTTTGAAAGGTCAGGCCACAGACCATCTCCTCCAGACAGGGATTTTGTTTTCCTGTGCAATGTAATTCAGAAAGCTACCCAATTCTTTAGGAATTCCTCCTAATACACATATAATCAGATTATACAATGCATATGCACATGAGAACTGTTCTAGAAAACATACTTTTTGTATTAAAGATGATTTGAAAATGCGTTAGTGGTTTTGCTATTTAAAGGAATGCAACTATAAATCTTTTCTTCCCTCTGAGAGGATTTATTATCATGCAAATCCAAAAACTCCAAACTCACTGCCATTGAGTCGATTCCAACTCATAGAGACAGCCATTGGGTTTCCAAGGCTGTAAATCTTTACAGAAGCAGACTACTTCATCTTTCTCCTATAGAGTGGCTGGTGGGTTTGAACTACTGACCTTTTTTTGTTTAGTAGCCAAATGCCTTAATCACTACACTACCAGAGCTCTTTATGTAAATAGATATCTCCTAATTTATATGGGTTTGTAAATTCAGACTTTGTGTTAGATTTTCTTGAGGCATATCCATATTTAGTGTTCTGAAAAATCAACAAGCTCTTTCTAGTATCTAACTGCATCTTTCCACTTATAACTCAGGGATATTTTCTTATTATATTAAACTAGTCCACCCTTTGGTGGCACAAACAGTTAACTGAAAGGTTGGCTATTCTATCTTACCCAGTGGTTCTGTGGAAGAAAAGGGCCTGGCTATCTGCTTCCATAAAGATTGTAGCCATGGAAACCCTATGAAGCACAGTTCTACTCTGAAACACTTGGGGTCACCATGAGTTGGAACTGGTAGTCCACTCTTAATACCAAGTCTTGCAGGACCTATTCTAGACCCTTGGAATTTATCAGTGCTAAAACGACAAGGAGGCCACATGTTCTGACCTCCTCTAATCCCACAAGAGGAAGACAGGATTACCAGCAGTAACCCAAGGCCTCCCTCCAGCCCTTTCACCAACCGTTCCTCCCAAAGCACCCACCACCTCTCTCCTGGGTTCGATAATTCACTGCAGTGGCCACACAGAACTCACAGATTATGGGGTTTATTAGGGAAGCACCAGGCTACAACTCAAGTTCAGGAAGAACGCTCAGTCTCTCTTCCAGCCCACCGTCCCTCAGCCAAAAGTCTCTCACAGTCTCTTTCCCAGCAGTGCTGGTCCCTCGGTGTCTCACTCAGCGATGTGTGTCTCTTGCGTCTCTTTCCCAGTAGCACGTGTCTCTTTTGGCAGCACGTCTTCCTCAACCAGCAGTCAGAGAGAGTTCTGCTTCTAGGAGGCCTCCTTTTGAGTCCGGCAGGGTGGTCAAACTAGCCAATCATAGCATCAGAACTCTAAGCATCTGAGAGAGAGTGGGAACATCCCAGAACATTGTATTGTGCCACGCCCAACAGAAATACTCCACGTGGATAACATTTACAATCAGGAGCTCCTCAGTTGCTCATTCCACCGAGTTTACAATGACTTATGGGTAGAAAAGCCATACAAACTAATTTACTACACCGCAATCAGTTAATGAAAGAAAGTCCCTGCCTGTGTAACACTCACAAAAGCATCACCTAGATTTTGGTATTGCCAACCACATCAGCACTGCAGTGTAGTAAATTACTTAGTGTGGCTTTTCTACCCATAAGTCTTTGTAAACTCTGATGTGGAATTTGCTGTGAGCAACTGAGGAGCTCCTAATTGTTAAAATTGCCCACCTGGGGTATTTCTGTTGGGAGTGGCACAAAACAATGTTCTGGGAGGTTCCTGCTCTCTCGCAGGTGCTTAGAGTTTTGATGATATGATTGGCTGGTTTGACCACTCTGCCGAGTTCAAAAGGAGGCCTCCTAGAGGCAGAACTCTCTGGGACTGCTGGTTGAGGAAGATGTGCTGCTGAAAGAGACACGAGCTCCTGAAAGAGACATGTGCTGCTGGGAAAGAGATGCAAGAGACACACATTACTGAGTGAGACACAGGGGGACACGCACTGCTGGGAGAGAGACTGTGAGAGACTGTCAGGAGAAAGACTGTGGACTGGGAAAGGGACTGAGCGTTTTTTCCTGAACTTGAATTGTAGCCTGGTGCTTCCCTAATAAACCCCATAATCTGTGAGTTCTGTGTTGCCACTGCAGCGAATTATTGAACCCAGGAGAGAGGTGGTGGGTGCTTTGGGAGGAACAGTTGGTGAAAGGGCTGGAGGGAGGCAGCATGTCTGGCCTTGCAGTAATAGGCCTTGGGTTACTGATAGTAGTTCTGTCTTCCTCTTGTGGGGTTAGAGGAGGTCAAGAGTTGTGGCCTCTTTGCCCTATTAGCAAGCACTGACATTATTTTCTTTACAACATCTATCAATAGTGACACTGTGTTGTTGAGTCAGTCCCCTGACTCATGGCAAACTCATGTGACACAGAGCAGAACTGCTTCATAGGATTTTCTTGGCTGTAATCTTTACAGAAGCACATCACCAGGCCTTTCCTTCCATGGAGCCACCAGGTGGGTTTGAACAACCAACCTTTGTGTTAGTTAGTGCTTGCACCACCCAGGCTCCTACACTGACATTATGGTGTTTGTTTATGTCTCCCCACTATACTGTAAAATCATGAAGGACTATGTTCATCTTTAATTTATCACTGTATTACAAGCATCAAAAATATACTACATGCTCAACACTGATTATGCACCTGATGAATTTTATTTATCTGAAGACTCCTTTTTTTTTAAAAAAAAAAAACCATGATGTCTTCCTAAATAGCCTACCTCCATTGTTTTCATCCACTATCACAGTGATTATTATAAGGACTACTTGAAGGAGTGGAAGATGGCTTCTTTCTAAGTTCACTGGTATCTATGGTTTTAATTGAGTCAAACATTTACCTGGTGACTATAGAACTTGGTAGGCATGATCTACTTCTAGCTTCCTTGCTTCCTCTACTTCTGGTGGGTTCTTTGTTGAGCTACGCCAATGGGGTCATGATTCAGCTTTGGCCAAAGGAGGGTCATTGCTGCATCACCGTGATTGTACAAGATGTGGTACCTCATACCACATTCAAGGAAAAAAGGGAAAAGACTGGACAAAGAGTACACAGAACCTAGGTCTAAAAACAGGTCTATTAGAAAATTGAGAAGAGAACAGATCTGTTAGAAAGATGAGAAGAGACAGCTTAATGATCTAAAATGACACAGGAACTTATAATGGATGTGATTCAATAGTACTTGGCACATGATAGGAGTTCAAGAAAGTTTTGTTGACTGAATGAATGGAAAAATTATACAAAAATGATACTCATGCTAGGGTACTAGATACGTTTACTTCTTGGTAGTTTCAAGTAATTATTTTCTGAACACATCCATTGCTCTAAGTACAATTACAAAAAAAAGTAGAACAAAAATTCAATTAGTCACTTACCTTTTTACTTAAATGGGGACCATTGGTTCCCCCAATGCTCCTCTGCCCTGGTGGTGGCACTTGATACACATCTTGCTCTTGAGTACCATGGCCAGTAGGGACTTGGTAAATTCCCTGGTTTTGATAGGAAGGTGGCACTTGGTAGATGGTATCCCGAGGAGCAGCCTGTGGGTTTGGCACTTGATAGAGCTTCTGTTGGACAAAGGTCTGGTGCATCAGTCCAGAAGGAGGCTGGTCCTGACTAGCAGGGATCTCCTGCACAGGACCAATCAGAAGCTTCACACGGTTGCCTGGAACGATGCCTTGCCGCCCATGTAAGGAGCAGAGCCACCATCCTTCTAGTCCTCCTGTATTCTGCTCAATCACAGTCAGGATGTCTCCCTTGCGAAAAGCCAACTCCTCAGCACACTCTGGGACATTGTCATATAAGGCCCTTGCCATAAGATTCTAGGAAGGAAGGAGCAGGGATATCATGTTAGAGTATTAGCTGAGTTCCTTTCACACCTAAAGGCCATTCTCTTATGAAGACACACACTTCCTGGAAAGAAGAGAAGAAGAAATCTGAACAATAGCCTCTAAGGAGAAAAACAGATGGTCCAGACAAAAGACAGATACATACATATTGTGTCTGCCACCAATGACATCAGACTGCCTCCTTGGAAAAAAGCTCAAAACACCAGAAGAGTTCTTTCCTCTTGCAGGAGATGCTGTGCCAAGGAATTATGAGCAGCACTGTTCAAAAGTTAGAGAATGGTTCAGTATACAAAAATATTTTTCTTCCTTTCTTAAAGCCAGCTTAAGGACAAAAAATATATTCCAAGATATTAATATGCACTACAATGGACATTTCTTAATTTTTTCATATACCGGAGGTAGAAAGGAGTCAAGGAAGATCCTAAGTAACTACCAGTACAAATGGCATTTGCATTCAGTGTTGAAAATGCAAACACAAGTCCACCTATATATACCTTGGAAGGGGTAGGGCTTAAAAAATGTTCTCAGTTGATCATGAGGTCCTTTGATAGAAGGAGAATCTACAAACAAGCATCTCTTCCAAGACACCTCCATGCTCAAGCATGGAATATAGAGTGATAGTAGTCTACATATCCAGATTTGATGGCGGGAAGTTACAAAGAATTTATAAAGGGAGTTAGATGCCAAATCTTTCTCTTTTGGTCTCTTACTCATAACTTTCCTTGGGCCCATCCTCACCCTGCTACTTTATCACCTACTTCTTGAATCTCACCATTCACATCTGAAGGGCTGTGCCTTCCCCTTTCATGGGCCCAAAACACTCTCCCTCTTTGTGTGAAGGCCTGTCTGGCACATTCAGTACTGAGCAGACAGCCAAAGTAGGCATTCAGCGGAGAGTAGGCAGGCATTACGTGCTGACATTCTTGGAAACCTTTCAAAGGCTCTGAAGATTTTATTTCTTGGCATTAGTAATGTTTCCCAGCATGCTGGCAGCCACGACTGCAGGCCTGCCTCCTCCCCACCACTGAGAGAAGTTGGAGTACATTGTAAATTCACTGCATGCCCTTGAAAAACTAAAAGTGATCTCTCTAGTGCTTCGCTAAAATGTTTGGATGCACTTAGCGTCATTGTGGTGATGATCATTTATGGGTGAAAGGGTTTTCAATTGGCTGGACCATTTCACATTATAACATATGCATGGAATTTTGGGCTGCTGTTGTTGGGACTAATGCCCCCTATTTTCCTCCATTCAAATGTGGACTTGATATTTCAGACTTGTGTTTTTAACTCCTTTATAATTGACATACATTAATCTTTTCCCCTGTACTGTGACACATAACTAAAGGTCTTGTACTGTGTGATTGGTCTCTGCTATGGAGTGACTGTGGTTAGTAGTTAAGAAGGGGCCTCATTCTGCTACTGTTAGCCAAGTTCCTCTGAGTCAGTGCAACTACTAAAGAAAGGAGATAAAGCCATAAAACTCAGTATCCAGGAAGCTTGGTGATGCTCTTCAAGACCAAGTTTGAAGTCCTTGTTTTTGACAGTCATAAGTCCAGGAAATCTGTGATATAGACAGGTGACTGGTATGGGAAGCGAAAGGAAAAGAAAGGGATTCATGTTTCAGAGGAAGATTCTGGTTAGTACTTATACTCTAGGAAGCTTTGTGTTCCTTCAGACAACTAAAATTCATATACATAATGATAAAATTGTGCAGCATTCTACCCTGGTTTGTGGGACCCTTTAAGGATGTGTCATAGTCCTAAAATCTCCTCTGTTTCCCTTCTTTTTTTTTTTGAATATCCTGTTACTGGTAATTTAAAAGAGAAGTCCTAGAGTTATGGAAGTCAAGATTCTGGTCCTTTGTACCTAAATGATCTCAAGGAAATTACTCCATCAGAGTTGTATTATGATTATACAGCAGGTGAATGCTGACTGCTCTGGTCTCTGTTCCCTTTCTTCTAGGTCCACCCAACAATTGGAAATGACTAATAAGGAAGCCCCTAGATGAGATCAGAAGTAATGGAGTCAGGGCCAGTTCTACTGGAGCTGAGGGTTGATAGCTGTGCAATTATGTTGACTACAAAGAAGGGAAAGAAGAGAAACAGAAAAGAGTAGAAAGGCAAAGGAGTACAGGCCTAATCAGCATAAATCAACTGGAGGCCTTGGGAGTTGAGTCACTTTCACATCACACCAGGCAGCAGTGAAATAGAGCACTGGCCATGCTTGACGAGCAGCAGATAGAAATCCCTATGCAAGAGTCTTTTGAGATGTCCTTTGTCTCCAGTCCCACTAACCTTCCCACTACCTGGTGAGCATGCTAATGTTTCTAGATGGTTCCTCCAGAGCTGCTTCTCAGGGAAAACTTTCAGAGCCCCATTGTCAGTGCTAATGGAGGCATCAGTGGGGGAGTTTTCCTAATTGGTTGTCCATTATTTCCCAGCAGTCTTCCCCACTGCCTGCAGAGACTGGTATTTAGAAAGACAGGTTGGCATGGCTGCTAATGGCAAGGACCCCAGCACCAGCCTGACACCTATTCACACACTGACAAATATTCTCAGCCTTGGTTGAACAACAGCATGAGTTATGTAACATCTGTGTATGCCACAGAGAGCTAATGTCCACATCCAATCACTCTACCAGGCAGAAGGGTGTAACTTGGGAGAAACCTAGAGATTGCCTGACCCAATGTTCCCATTTTACAAATAAGGAAACAGTTTAGGGAGGCCAGTTTCTATCATTTGCCCAAGTCTACACTGCTGGTGGCAGAGACAGGCTAGAACTCTGGGCTCTTAGTTCTTTGTTCAATTCTCTTTCCAGAACTCTAAGCTATCTTCAAAAAAAAAAAAAAACAACCCAAACTCGCTGCTGTCAAGTCGGTTCCTACTCATAGCAACCCCTCCTTTGGTTTTGGAGGCAGTATCTCTACGGAGGGAGATTGCCCAGTCTTCCTTCTGAGCAGTGGCTGGTGGGTTTGAACTGCCAGCCTTCTGGTTAGCAGTCAAATTCCTAAGGCACTACACCATCAGAGCTCCTAGCTTTATTTTATATTACTATATAATGTCCTTCTAACCTGGTACAATTCCATTATATAAAAGTTCAAAAGATGACCAATTCTTCTTTAATGTCTAAGAATAAAGAGCTTCTTAGGGTTTTGTGTCCTAGCTGTGTTACTTGGTTGTTTCTCCCCTCTGTGCCTTAGGCACCTCATCTGTAAAATGAGAATGAGGATGATAGTACTGTCTTGGTTCTCTAGTGCTGCTATAACAGAAATACCACAAGTGGGATGGCTTAACAAACAGGAATTTATTCTCTTACAATACAGGAGGCTAGAAGTCCAAATTCAGAGAGCTGGCTCTAGAGCCTGTGTGAAGGCCCCTTGACTTTGGGCTTCAGCTCTACCTTTTATTCCAGGCCCATTGGAACTAGAGGTATCTCCTAACTCAGGCAGCTGCTGGCTGCTGAGAGTGATGAACCCAAGGTCAGTAGGTAAGATGGCACAGTCCCAAGATCAGCAGATAACATGGCAGGCCACTAGTTCAAGTCTAGGAACTGGAGATGAAGACTCAGCCAAATGCAGGATGCAAATGTGCTGAAAGCAAGAAAGAGACATTCTCTAAGCTTCTCCTCATATACTGGAAGCAGGCCACACCCTGCAGGCAACTACTTAGCTGCTCATAGCAGTTTCTGCCATGGAGGTGATTACAATCTCATCATGGGGAATAACTACATCCAGCTGCCCAGCCACTCAAAACCATGGCCCAGCCAAGTTGACACAAATCCTTAACTACCACAAGTACCTACCTCATAGGTTTGCTGTGAGGATTAGTTAATTAAAATAAAGTGCTTTAACGTTGCCTGAGACTTAGTAAGCTTTTATAATGATTTTTCATAATTTTCTGGATGCCAATTTGACTTCAGACCCACTTAACCTCTCAGTTCTCAATCAACAGCTGCTCCTATTTTATTCATACTACCATATACATACACACACATACATACATATACATACATACATATACACATATATATGTATTATGTATTATATATATGTATATATAATATGCACATATCCAGTTACTATCAAGTCAACTCCAACTCATGGTGACCCCATGTATGTCAGAGTAGAACTGTGCTTCATAGGGTTTTCAATGGCTAATTTTTTGGAAGGGGATCACCAGGCCTTTCTTCTAAGTCACACTTGGATGGACTTGAATCTCCAACTTTTCAATTAGCAGCCAAGTGCATTAATCGTCTGTCTTAGCCAGGGACTCCGTATGCACACACACACAATCTGGTATTTCTCTTGCTCACAATTTACATTTCAGAAGAACTGTATCTCAAAGCACTATTTCTTTAAAATAATAATGAGTTCTGGTCACTGCAACACTTGTCAAATATTTGCCTACAAACAGCAATAATGAAATTATTGGTTGATTTCAAGAGACCTTCCAAGAGACAAAAGTAATAATGATATTATTGGACAAATCATGGCTAAATCCCATTAGATTTCAGCAGAGTGCAATATATCCAAAAGCAGGGAAAGATGCAGTGAAGGAGTTTGGCTTTTGAAGAGACTTGGTGTTGGGGCAGTAGTTCAATAAGAAGATAACCATATTAGCTTCAGTGGAAGCTATCTTACTCAATTGTGCACTATCTTACTTGAAAGTGCGCATACAACTCATAAGTAGATAAAACTAAAAAAACCAAACTCACTGCCATTGAGTCGATTCTGACTCATAGTGACCCCCTTTGGGTTTCCGAGGTGGTAAATCTTTACAGAAGTAGATTGCCCAATTTTCCATCTGTGGAATGGCTGGTGGGTTTGAACCACCAACATTCTGGTTAGCAGTCAAATGCCTTAGGCACTAGCCACCAGCGCTCCTTCATAAGTAGGTAAAGCAAGAGTTAATTCCTCTGGCAAGAAGGTGTGGGACCCTCTTCTTTCAGGCAAAGGTGGGGTTTCTTGAGGCTAC